GGCATGTGGTGCTGGGGGATTGAACCGCGGTCCCTGATGCTTTGCTAAGCTTGTTCTAAGTAGGTGCTTTAGACCACTGAGCCATCTCTCCAGCCCAAAATTTATCATTTTTTAAACGTTTATAAATTATTATACCACGGTTTGTTCAAAGACTTCTTGGAAATGTTGTGTGCCTATGTTTATAGCAGCACAATTTGATAGCCAGATCTTGGAAACAACCAAAATGCCCGTCACTTGAGGAATCGATGAAAAAGATGTGATGTTTTTATACAATGGAGTATTACTCAGCTGTAAAGAAAAACAAACTGGAAGCCTTCATATCTAATCAGGGCCTGGTTCTGATGTTTGGGACCTGAGGAACATGCCCGAGGCAGACACTCAGGTTGGGTACCATCATACTTGACTGAAAGTGCTAGAAAATCTTTCAGAAAGATCAGGTGTCTGCTGAAGGAAGACCTGGGGATCAGGGGATGCACAGAAAGCAGGACCGAGAAGGATCTCACTGGCGTTGCACACCCAGAGTCTCGCCAGGAGGTGCTGGACCATCAACAGCAGCGCGTCTTCTCACATGGACATGATTTCATGTCTGTGGAGCAAAGTAAAAAGCGTAGTTTGTGCCAGGAGGTGCGACACACCTACTTTATACACTAAGAGACTAAGGCAGAGACCATGAAGCTCCCAGTGGGACTAGCCTGGCTTCCAGTAAGGTCTCACTGTGCTGTCTGCGACTTCCAGGAACGAGCAGAGTCACTCTAGACAGTCACGATGGTGTCGGGAACTGGAAGCCCCTGAGGCAGTCAGGGTCAAGGGGTTTCCAGTGCCCAAGTGCCTGCATATTCCAAGTGGCTCATGAGGACAGTGGCTGTTCATTAGCTTCATTTGGAGATGCCCCTGACCCACTCTGATCTTTGCAGTCTGTGGGAGGAGGGGGGGCGGGACACAGGCCTCGCCTTTAGAATAGTCAGTTGATTCAAATGTGCAATCCGGATGAAAACCCACTTGACGAAGGCAATCTGGGCCCTTCCACGCTGCCACTAGTGTGCTTGTTGGGGCCACCCGCAGCCCCCACCTGGCAGTCAGAGAGGTACTCTGGCCTTTTCCAAGGCTGTCGCTCGTAGCAACGGATACAGTTAAATGCCCCCCCCCCCCCGGAAGCAGCTCTTCTTTGTGACCCAAGCTTTGCTAAGGTTGCTGTCTCACTCAGCCTTCCTCACTGCTCTGCCTCCTCTACCAGGCCTTGATGGCTAGGAGTCCCTGCTCTCTGTCCTGGCCCTCTGCCCTGCCCTCATCCCTGGTTCTTGTGGCGTTAAGCCCACCCTCGGCCCCAGATCACCTCCAGCGAGGCACCGGGTGGCACACTCACCTGGAGAGCTCACAGGCCGTTCAGATCGAAAGCAGTAGACACAGTGCTCTGGGTCCCCATACCCAAATCATTTTTCCCAATGTCACCTTCCTAAACAAAGGTCACCTTCACCCCTGTTGGTCAGCACCAAGCCCAGGAGTGATCTCTATTCTGTTCGCTTCCTCTCCTTGCCTCCTTTTCCCTCCACGTTTATTTTTCCATGGTCAGTCTCCCTGCCCTAACTTCTGGACAGGTCACAGCCCCATTCACACCAGCCTACTGCCTTCGCCCTTGGCCCCTGCGAGCCACACTCCCCAGAAAAGCTGGGCACACTTGGTACCATTGACGAGCTTGCTCCCTTCCCTCCTGGAAAGCCTCTGAAAGCTTTTGTGTTGCTCCGAAAGTGAAAAATCTCACTGCACCAGCCATGCCCACACCACCCAGGCTCAGCCGCGCTCTGTCCTCAGCCTGCCCCAGGGTCCCTGCCTGGGTGTTGTCAGCTTGCCCAGCAGCACCAGCCCTCTTCCCTGCAGGACCCCGTGGGCTCTGCATGTGCTGTGCCCTCTCGCCTGGCGCCCTCTTACCCTGCCTTTGCACACCCACCCTCTTTGCATCCTTCGTGAGAGGCTTAAATGTCATCTCCTGGAGTCAGCTAAAGAGAGGATGACCTTCCTGGTGACTTCAGTAGCTCTCTTTGCTCCTGTCATGTTGTTTTCCATTTAAATGACCAAATTACTGGCTATAATTCTGTTATTTTGTTGGCAACTCACTTACTGTCTTGAGACAAGCTCATGACAGAAGTAATAAGCTATATATGGTGACCCCTGTTGATCACCTCCTCAGCTCTGCGGAGCTCCCACTGGAAATGTGAGGATCGACAGCCGGAAGGACAGACTCGCCACCAGATGCTCACTGACTGCTGAGTGTGCTGTCCACTGCCAGCTACGCCCTGCCTCCTGCAGGGCAGGCTCCATCATCCGTCCTCTGGGCATCCTCTGCACTGATGCTGTAGCGTGTTGACACCACCATGGCCAGTACTGTGGTGAACACTGATGCCTGGCACCCACTTTTCTAGAGAGTCTCCAGGCACAAGGGCTCCCCTTAGCGCAGCTGTGGCTTCTTTGCTAAGACTGAAGAAACTGCCTGAAAAGTGAAAAGGATAGAAAACACAGCCAAAGGGGATGGAGGACCCAAGCTGTATACAGTGGCCTCAGCAGAGGAGCCTATGCGTCCCAAGGGCTGGGCCGAGGGCTTGGCTACTCCCCTGACCATACATGGCTTGGCCAGGGCTCTCCGGGAGCCACCTCTCGTCCTGCCTCTCCAGCTAGCCCAGCTGGATGTTCCTGTGAATGGGAGACACAAGAGAACGCCACCAGAAAGGAAGCAGTGTGCAGAAGGCAGTGGCTGGGGAAGGTTCTTGGAGGCTGGTGGAAATGGTGAGTGAGCTCAGCTTCTTTTTTGTACTAACCTTCCTTTGTCTCTATAAAGGCCAATTCCTAGATTTTTAAATCTTAAGTCTCCTAATACAATCACATAAAACTCTGCCCAATACAGAGCTTGATTTTTAATCACTTTCCTATGTGAAAAATGGTAGTTATTTTTAAAATCCCCATTTAATGTTTGCTGGTCTCGCCTTTTATTCTGATGTAAAGATTTTATTTTTAACCTTGCCTGCACAAAGGCGCAGAGTAGACGCTTCGGCCCCCCTTGCTTCCTGGTTGAAGCCATGGGTCTGGTCAGTAATTTTATCTTTCCTACTTGTTTGGTGTGTCTTCTGCTACGTAATCAGCAACGTGGACGTTCACACATTGTGCTAGGAACTTCCTGCCTTTCTTCTTGACTTAGTTTATATATTTGGTCAAGACCTAATCAAATGATATTTGCTAAGTTGGGAGGGGAAACAGAGGAGGCTTCTACTGTTGCTTAGTTAAAGAAATATAGAAGCAGCCTTGTTTTCTCTCAGTGGCTGAAGGGAGCGAGAGACCGATACGCCGCCGCGTGGGTGGGCCTGGAGGACATTGTCCTCAGGGAAACAAGCCGGACACAGACAGAAAAACCAGCATGATCTCACTTGGATGTGGAGCTTAGGAACGAGGGAGGATTCTTCAAAGGAGCTGATCAGGCCTTGGAGACAGGAGGATCTGTGCTCCAACCTGCTCTCCGCCGCCTGCAAGCTGGTAACCTGCAGAAACTAGCTTGTCCTATACCTATGGCGCGGGAATCATGAGTTTCCCTTCATACAGAGGCTACGAGAGCAGGTCTGACACCTGCACAGCCTCGGCCACGGCAGCTTATCTGCCTGTCCTGTCTATCCCCCCTTCTCCTCACTAAGAGCAGACTCATAAGAGCCCCCGAGCCACCGTGCTTCCCCAGGGGCTTTCGGGTCCACTCTGCAGGTGGCCTGCGTCAGTGAGACTGGAGTGAGCAAGGAGTAGACTGCGTCCTGCTCTGGTACCTTGAATACTGCCAGCTCGTGCTTACAGTCCCGTACGATAGAACTGTCCAAGTGGCTTCTCCTTCCGAGCTCTGTGCTGGCCAGTCCTCGAGGACCAGGACATCACGCGACCCCGCACGAACCGTTTCCTTTGATAGGTCTGGAAGCTGCCGCAGACATCTGGCCCTTGGGTGAACTGAGGGGAGCAGGCAAGTCAAGTTCCTAGTGCTCCACGGGGAGCGCTCAGCCCAGGAGAATAGATTTGCAATGAGGAACCGGACGCCCCAGAACCTAAGCGCTTTATCTCCACTTACATAGCAGAGGCTGCCCTCGGCCCAGATGACGTGGCTTCACGCCCAGGGCTGCCTAGACACCAAGCCGTGTCTCTAAAGGGCACTGTGTCGTGTTTTTCTCTCCATGAGAGCCCTGCACTGTGTTTCTACACAATAGGAATGCCTTTCTGAAGTTGGCCAAAATCTTCGTCATCCAAATATTGATAAACAATGCGTGAAATGGGCCATTTGTTGCTGCTTCTCCTCACTTCTGTCCACCCAAAGAAAGCTTTGTCCTGACCCTGCTGACATCAGTGTCCAGGCCCCGCTGGTGAGATAAGCCCCACACAGCTGCATGGAGTGCTTCCCCCACCACTGGCCATTGCCTCACCTAGTGGCTTGCTTGACGCCAGCACGAAGGGAGGCGAGAGGACCCTGAACTAAGAGACCCCAATGTCCCCCTTGCTCGAACATTGCTCTAACAAAAGCTGCACCATGCTTGTAATTCTGCAGAAACTGTAAGAGTTGTGTGGAAGCCTTGGGTGGTGGAAAGAGGCTGCCCCCAGGAGACCCTGGTCCGAGTGACAGCTGGCTACTTGTGTGGACTTGCAAAACTCGTTGCCACTCTTGAGGGATTTTTGTAGAGTGAAGATGCTCTGTTGCTAAGAGACAGAGAGGTGAGCAAAATCACTGTGGAAGCACAAGACAGGGTAGTGCCATCGCAAGCAATGAATGCAATCTTTGGGAGAAGCATACACACATTGTATGTACTTAAAGCATTCTTAGTTCATAGAAAATTGGTTCACCCAAAAGAATTCTGCCTTGGGGCCGGGGAGATGGCTCAGTGGAATAAGCACTTGCCTGGCAAGCGCAGGGGCTTGAGTTCAATCCCTGATTCTGCGACAAAAACAAAAACAGAATTCCGCCTTACCAGCAAGTTAGTTTTCTGCGTATGGGGACTGCTGCTCTCAGCCACCTCTCTGGTCATATAAACCGAGTTCATTTGGCCTCCTTCCAGAGTGAAGCTCTAACTATTCTCAGTTGTCCCTGAACTAATTTCTGTTAAGTCCCCAAGTCTCAGTTTTCTCCTCTCAAGTGAGGCTTTGAGGTGCAAAATGACTTTTGAGATACATCAGATCTGAAATGTGCTTCTTTAGGATTCTTTAGTCTTCCACAGTATTCCTATTATTGGTTAATACTCAGTATTAAAATTTAGGAAGCCTGTGTTCCCAGCAAGACAGAATTTAGCCTTGCAGAAGACTGGGTCATGGGCCTCTGTGATTGCTTGTGCCGCTGCCGTAGGCAGGGGTGGGTGATCAGGCAGGCTGGGGCTGAAGCGGGGCCCGAGAGGAGTCCCTGATCCAGAGCTGAGAGTCCAGAAAGTGGAAATGTGACCACTTCGTCCCCGGGAGTCAGGCTCAGAAGGTGCCACCAGCTGCCCCAGAGCCCTGTCTACACGCTGCTCTCAGCAGGGCAGGGCAGGGACTCAGTGAGGAGCAGCCCGGAAGGAAGCGTTGGTGAGCACAGTTTGGGGCCATGGGGTGGGGACAGGGAACAAAAAGGAACCACCCCTGGGCCCAAGAAATAGACCCTGAGTCTGCACGCAGAGGGAGAGGGAAATGCCGTGCTGGGAGGGGAGAGTGGAGGGCGGCTGCTTCTGCCCTGCCTTTCGACCAGTTCAGCTCCATTGCTTGGGCCTGGGGAACAAGCAGAACTCTGGTCCTTCCTGAGACGGTATTAAGGATCAGGTGCTGGATCATGCCTCTTGGGGCTTACTCCCTACACGGAGCAGAAAACACTGAATAAATAAACTCACCCAGTTCTTGACTGAGGGTGGGGGTTCCAGTACCTTGCTGTGTTTCTGGTGATGTTTCTGTACTGCCCTTGTGGATTAGGGACCCTTAGCCCAGAGCCTCACTGGTCCCCTAATCCAGCCTGGATTGGAGAGCGGGAGGAGAAAGCACAGAACTGACTTGTTGCTGAGAGAGAAGCTTGTGACCACCTCCCCCCTCCCCCAGCAAAGCCAAGACAGAGCCCAGACTGGGCTCTATGGGCGCAATCCATTTTTTGTGGTTCTCCGAGGTGGTGAGTTTAGGTGAGGAGGCGGGACCTACATTAACCATTCCTGGAGTTTTAACGCGCCCTTCTCTCTTGCAGGGCTTTTCGTTGAACTTCACACTGCCAGCTAACACGGTGAGTAAAGCAGCGTTCCGGCAGGGCAGCAGAGGTCCAGGCAAGATTTCCGCGGGAATTGCAGAGTTTTGTCCCGCACAGTGATGCACAAGAGGTGATCAGAAACGATGGTGAGTGTTTAAGTTTAAAAACATCTTATTACAGTAGCAGGACACATTGCCAAGGATTATGGGTAAGTGTGCTTGAAGCAAGGGGGAGTATTTTAAGAGGCTTAATGGCAATGTGTCTTTTACTGTAATAACATTTTTTAATTTAAACATTCATTGTATTTTTCCCATTATACAGTAATGTCTGACAAAAGCAATGATTAATAATTGAGGGATGCTGAGAGCAATTTTTCAGTTATAAGATTTATAAATGTACATTTAAAAAAATAGAAAAAATATACCCCCCCAATTCCCAGTAGAAGAAAACAATAATGTAACCCTTTTCATCCTATTTGGCTGTATGTGACATTTGACTTCTGTTTTCTTCATATTACTATATTCTTATTTTACATGTAATTTTATGTATTAAATATTGTCAGTCTTTATGACCATCACTGAAGGTAGCCATATGTTATTTATTGAAATGAATTATTTCTTTAACTGATGAATTATTAGCAATAATTTTGTAATAAACATCGTTATTGTCTATATTTAAGATTATTTCCTTCGTATGCGTTCTGGCAGGAGTGGTTGGGTCAGCACGGACGGATGCTTTGCGGCTCCTCATTAGGACATTTAGTTCCAAATCCAAGCAGAATTTTCTTGTTGAAGGCACACAGCTTCAACGCACAGTTGAACTTCCGGCTTTCGTTCTCATGTTGTGTGTAGTTAACAGTAAAATCCACCATTGTTTTCTGATCATGATTGAGTGAAAGTTTTCTTGGCCCAGATTTGTAGTTACTTGACCATACCGACCGTTTCTGCTAAGTTATACGGTTATTCAAAAAGGGAGGACCTCCAGGGGTCGGGGATATAGATCAGCGGCATAGCCGCTGCTGGCAAGCTCAAAGTCCTGAGTTCGATTCCTGGTACCTCCTCCCAAAAAAGAGACCTTGAAGCTAGTTCTCATTTTTACTTTACAACCACCCTAGTTTGCCTAAGAGGTCCGGAGAATGGCAGGAAGTTAGACCCTCAGGACTTACTGCTGAAATTCTGGTGTCCCCACTGTCTGTCCTGAGTTCTGTGTCCCAGCTCGTATGGCTCCACCCTCCCAGGAGCGGGCCCTGCCTCCTGCCTCTCCCATGGCTTCTGAGCCCTCCTTCTCCGGCATGCCTGCCCACTTCAGCCTCTCCCTGGTGTCTGTGGACACGTTCCCCAGCCTTTCCTTGCTTGACAAAGTTTTCCTTTTCCTTGGAACTTACCCCAGGCTGCTGGGACCCTGGAGCTCTATTGAAACCCAGGCTTTGTCCTGTGCTGGATTGGCCCATCATGCCCAACTAACACAGAGAAGACACTGTTTGGGGCAGCAAGGATGAGTGGGGTGGGAGGAAGTCTCTTAGGGTCCCAGCTGCCACCTTGAAATGTCATCTTGGTGAACAGTTCATTTCTCTGAGAACGCTCTCCTCCCCACCTTGAACCTGTGCAGGACCAACCACCCTCGTCTGCCTAAGACCACCTGCTTTAGTGCCGAACATCCTGCCTCCTCGGTAGGCTCTCTGAAGACCAGCAAAGGGCACTCATTCTGCTTGCAGTGCAGTGGAATACGCTGGGAAGTGGGGGAGGTGGCCGTGTGGAAGAGGGCTGCCTGTGTAGACAAGTCACTCCCCGCTGGGCTCTACTGAACTCTCAAATGTGAAAGCCTGAGGTCGGCTGTGCTTTTGACCTTGGAAGAGGTGAAGCAGAGTGGGTAAGAGCCCCAGCCCTAGAGCGAGGCCCTCAAGTCTCCACCTAGAGCTGCTCGACTTCACAGAGGTTCCTTCATGTCTCTGTGCCTCACTGTTCTCATCTGTAAATGGGAATCGGAGACCTGCTTCACTGACTGATCTTTTAAAAACTGTAAAAGAACTTTTTATTAGCATGCATTTGCAGTACCTAGTGATTGCAATCGTCATGGGGAGATATGCGTAACATACTTTAATTCTTTTAGCTTCTTCTTCCTTCACTGGGAATAAATGAGTCAATATGGGAAATGCTTGAATACCCTGGTGCCTATTAGGTGCTCCATAAGCATTAGCTGGTGTCATTAGCAAGCATTCATGAGAGCAGAACATGTGAGAGATATATGATATCTATATATATGATGTCTATCTATCTATTATCTACCCATCTATCAAGAGAGTCCATATGCAAAGGAGGTGGGCGGGGACAGAGAGAGAGATGAAGGGGGAAGGGAGCCTCATCCCCACCATCCCAACCGGCTCCCCACTCCTATCTCTGGCCCTACCTGGGGATCCAGCTTACCCCCTCTTCTTGAGCTCCACAGGGGCCTTTGTACCCTATGAGTTATTCGTTACCCATTTAGTTTTGATTGTGTTTGCTTTGCTTGTTACATAAGCCAGTCCAAGTAAATTTCTGTGATTGAAAAGAAAATATTTTACCTTAAGTGATGGTCGGCTCCTTGCACCACCCTTGGAAGTGAAGCCCTGAAGACGGGCGCATGGAGAAAGCAATATGGGGGTGGTAGTGAGGACAGGCTTAGGTGAAATGCAGCCACTTAACCGCCAGGTGTCAGTGCCTGGCCTCTTAGTTACTTTTCTCACTACTGAGACAAAAATACTGGACTCCCGAAGTTACAGAGGAGAAGGCTCATTTGTTTGTTTTTTTTCTAGGTAACTATTTTTTCCCATAATTTTATTGAGAAACAAATAGCAATGAGACAGTTTCAAACCAAATCGGTAGGACAGTTTCAATAATTCACACATTGCATACATTCCTCTCAGTGGTTAATTGCTGTACAAGATGCGGACATGATATCCTATTTACAAACACCATTAGAACAAATCCCTCTATTCATTAAGAGAATGTAACTATATATCTATCCTAACCACTTTGAATACACAGATACAAAATGGACATTCATCTGTATACCCTTTTTTTTTGTTAAGTTCTGTCATTTGAATATTATAGGTGTGTAAACTCAGCAAAATATTCTAAAAGAGTCCAGTAGTCCATAATAGTTTTGGGTCTTCCACTTCACTGGCAGTGTCAGAAATTGTTGACCTGAGTCCCCTACAGCTCAACATAACACTATGGCTTTACTTCTTATATTTCGTTTTTATACTTTTCTGCTGAATGGTTAAGACCAAGATAAAGCAAGACCTATGCAACAAGAGTTGTAGCTTTTGGATCTGATAAGGTCAGTGAAATCCCCTCAGGATTTATCCTGAGATCCTGTGCCTCAGATTGTAGAACCTTTGTCAGTGTCAGCCATGTGGATGAGTCACGGCCATTGCTTGGCCAATGTGCTCTCTGTGAAAGCCTGAGAGAATGTTTTCTCTCCATATGACTCTCCTTAGGCACACTCTACATCATCGATCACTTTCCTCCTTAGCCCCATAATCTCCTTGATCAGAAAACTTGGGACACTACTGAGTTACATGACGTTACAGTACAAGTTCTCATATGTCCTGAGTCTTAATTGACCTTGGAAGGCTAGGGCCAAAATGTTGGCTTTCCTTCCGGCCCTCCTTTTTCTCCAATTTTGGTTTGCAAACTTAGGTTGTTAGCCATCCAGAAGACAAGCTTATTGTTATTACCATACAACCTAGGCTGTTAAACTTAACCTCATTATCTGTCTGAATATCAAACATCGTAGGCATAACATGGAAGAGGTATTTTTCATCAAGTATTGATACGTTGAACTTTAAGTCCCTACAGAATGTGATGAAAAAACATTTAAAAATTAGAATATATTTTTAAAAATAGGCATAAAGAATTATATATTTCTTATGTTTACACATAAGTCCAAAAATCTCACCATATACAACCTTGAAGCAGGACAGTCCCACAATATTCCTTTTCCTATCTCTTGCCTTCATTCACCACCCCCTTCTTTTTGAACAACCATCTACCTGAGAGACAGCACAGCAGCAACTGGCATGTCATGACAAGCAGCCTGTATTCAGAAGACCAGAATGACAGGCACTCCAAGCATGAACCTACCATTACAAATTGCTATCTTCAGTGCAGTTGCTTATTTCACAGGTGTCAGTGTGTATAGTTACTCAGGGTGAGAATCTTTCCAATTAACTGCTAGATTAAAAAATCTTCTGGAGATTCTCAGGATCATTGCCTTTCTCATCTTTTACATATAACTGTATGGCTTGTCACTGTCATGGTTCCTAGCTCCAGAAGGCTCATTTGGCTCGCGGTTTGTGGAGGTTTCAGCCCACCCAAGCAGGGTGGCCAGGCAGAGGAGAATAGTGCTTGGCGGCAAGAAGGGAGCCAGAACAACAGGGAGGGGCCTGAACGGCACCTTTCTGCCCCTTTCATACCGTATCTGGGCTACCAGGAGTAGGGCGGTGCCAAACCCGTCAGTGAACTGAGTTAGTAGTCACACACCCTTAATCCCAGTGTCACACACTCGGGATCCAGCCACCTCTGAGAAAGCATGAAGTTCTGAAGGGACATCCAGACACAAGCCACAGCACCTGATTATCAGAGCCCTCTCCTTGGGCATAGCGTGAACAGCTCCAACTCAGGTTAGAGTTGTGGCTCTCTGTGGAAACTTGCACAAGTACTATAGCTTCTTTGAGGTCTGTTTTGTTTTGTTGTTTCTTTTTGTATTGGTAGATAAAGATAATAATTATTAAAAGGCGCCAGGACTTGAGGTTGCTGAGAGTATTGAATAAGTAGTTGTGACCAGAGCATTGCAAAGCTTTAAGGGATCACAAAATCCCATGCTTCTGGCACCCATCTGACCCCTACAACAACCTTAGAGGGCAGCTACCACTGTCGCTGTGTAGATGAAGAAACAAGGCTCCTTGGCTTCTGCGTACAAGAATGACTGTATGATTTCAGGCAATGCAAGCCCAGTGCCTGTGTTTTTCTTCCCTAGTGCTAGGGATAAAACCCAGGACCGTGTACACTTTCGCAAGCGCTTCGCTACCAAGCTACATCCCCCGTACCAGGATCTGTGCTCTTGACCCTGAGTGCCACCACGGAGCACAGTTTACGTATTGACTTCGTTGCTCATGTAGAACTCTATTTCCTTGGAGTTACTGATGAGGGTTTTTATTGATGAAGGTTTATTGGTCAAGGGTTGCCTTAAATATCCCAGAAATGGATGAACTTCAGTGCCGTTCCTTGAGTGATGTGAACCAGAAGCGCATGATGGATTCACTCAATGTGGTCTTATTCCCAGGAGGGCGGCTAATTTACAACTGCTGCCATTTGCTTCCTTCTATATTTGAAAACAAATAAGGCTTTCCCATGCAATCTTATTCCAGTGCTTGTATTTGTTTTCCTTATAGTCAGAGTGTTTTGGGAGGGGTATGGGGACTAGGGACGGGGGGATATTTTTTTGAAAAAATTTTTTTGTTTGTTTGGTACAGGGTCTTGCTATGAAAACCTTTTGAGTTGTGAAATGCGTTATGACAAATTCACAAGCTGAATAATAAAGACCTAAATTTTTGGGTTCTTTTTTATTTTTAGCCAAATTTCATTTCAATTCTTATCTGAGGAAGCAGCCAACCACATTTCTGTTTGGTAGTTGTTGTTAATAGTTGACCCGGGGGTGGACTTCAGGCCTATAGCTTAATCTTGGTAGACTATCTTGTATCACGTGTAACACCTATTTCCTGTGTTTTTCCCACACAGACTACTTCTCCAGTTGTTACAGGTGGAAAAGAAGCAGTAAGTATCCCTCAGGTGACCACCTCTTGGCTGAATCATTTATAAATTGGGGAAATGATGGCTTATCCATCTCATGCTTTGCTTTGAGGATTAAAATTTGGGAATGTGAATTCCAGAGCCCAGAACCTGGCTCAGCAATTATTCTTACAATTACCTAGGCTCAAAACCAAGGAGAAACACAGAAGTCACAGATGGATTTCACAAAGACTGAGTAAGAGAAGCTAGCACAAGAGAATATAGAGCCTGTATTTGTAGCTGTGATGATGAAGAACAGACAAGAGCTATCTGCACCTTGAGGTTTTAAGATAGCATTCACACAGAGAGACGAAGGGGCTCCTGAAGGCCAGGGAGTGTTTGCTTGGCTGACCTGAGTTTTGGTTTAAGGATGTCTTCATGTGAAAAGTCATCCACCTGTATAGATATGGCCTATGGAGTTTTATTATGTTTCCACAAAAATCATGTCCCCCAAAAGGAAGGACAATGCATTACACTAATGTTGCACATCTATAGGGGTTGTGCAGATTGTTATCCATATTTCTAGAAAACCTGCAAGTCTGAAAATTTATGTGGCTACAGCCATGATTATTTCTATCCAAATCAAAGCAAAGTGGGCATGTGAAAATTGGTTAATATATATAGTGTAAATAACTTTTTAAAATCATATCAAAAGGGTGTGGGATATAATAAAATATTTCACTTTTTTCTGGACTGGTAGATAAACATGGCATCGAAGCGTGCTGAATTTTACCTCAGCTTTTCCTGTGTTCAGGAGACATTTGTGTTTCTGCTCCCAGGAATGCTTCTTCACATCAGTTGTCCACTCTTCTACTAGATTACTACTCTTTCCAATCATTTTAAGCACCTGGGACCGCATCTGTAATCCCTGCACTCTGAAGCTGAGGCAGGAAGATTGCAAGTTTGAGCCCAGCCTGGATTACTAAGCATTTTTGCAAGACCCTGTATGTGAAGGCCCTGGGTTCAATCTCCAGTATTACAAAAAAAAAACAAACAAAAAAAAAAAAAAAACAGCAAACCAAACATTACTATGTAAATTAAGTGCTAGAAAGGCAAGTCATTTGTCGCATATGTTAATTTTTTTCCCCATGGTATTTCATTTCTTTTGATTGGGTATGTGACACATATAGTCTATGCAGATTTTGATTCTATTTCTAATATACTGAAAATTTCCTTGAGTGTTGAAGAAGCTGAACTTCCCTTGACTGTGTTTCTCCCTGCGCCAGGACTGCGGGCCCTCGGTTGGATTAGCGGCAGGCATCCCATCGCTGGTGGCCACAGCTCTGCTGGTGGCCTTACTTTTCACTTTGTTTCACCGAAGAAGAAGGAGCGGCGAGCCTGCTGAGGTCTGGATATTCAGTGGCCAGCTCTTTGGGTCTGGATATTCAGTCTGAGTCAATGTTTCAGTGAACTGGCCTTTGGGCTAAATGTGCAAGAATTGAGGGTTTGTGTCATTTCCTAAGGACAAGGTGGTAGAGGTTCATTTTTTAGACCCAATTCTGTTCTCTTCCAGAAAGAGCCGATTTGCACACAACTCTCAGGTGATGTGAGGACGTCCTTGGCAACAAGGCCGGCATGTGGGATGGCAACAGCAGCGGAGTGGGATGTCTGTTGCCATGGGACACAGTTCTGCATGGTGGGCGTATTTGCTAAGTTGAAGGGGAGAAAAGGGCACGAGGTTCCCAGGGGCACCGAGGTGATCTTAGGGAAAACAAGACACAAGGACTGGGTGTGTGTCGTAGAGATCCATCCAGACCACGCCTTTGCCCTGTGCGGGCTGGGCATGCGCGGTTTGCAAGAGAAGGCCCATGCAACGCGAGATTGCCCTGGAATTCAGGGATTCAGGGAATTCAGGGATGGAGCGGTCCAGCGACGAAGACAGTTCCGTGGTTGTGAATGAACTGTGTTAAGTAGATTCTGGGTGCGCAGGTTCCTGAGTTCTATCCCCGGTACCGAAAAGAACAAAACAAAACAAAGCGACAAGTAGATTCTGGGCTCTAATTTCACTTTCTACTTATAAATATTCATGGTTGCTTTCACACTGGCAAGCATTAGTAGAGAGACAGAAAACCTAGGTTTTAATCCTGGCTCTATCACTTTTTATTTATATGATTCCGGCCATTTGACTTAACATTCTGTACGCTTTTTCAGTTCAATCGACAAACAGGTATCAGCCAGGAAAGGCGGCACTTGCCTATAACCCCAGCTCGGGGGAGGCTCAGGCAGGCGGACCACTGTGAGTTCAAGGCCAACTGACCTATAGAGTGAGGTCTTGTCTCAAAAAACCCCCAAACAAACAAAAAAGCAAACAGAAACGGGTATGAAACCTCCCCTCCTGCACTGCGGCCCTAGCTCAGGGGTAGAGCACTTGCCCGCCGGGTCAAGGCCTTGGGCTTGATTACCAGCTCGACGGGGCGAAAAAGTTCTGCTTTCCCTGTTTGAAGAGACGGGCAGGATTATGAGGATGAGACAAAATAAAGGACAATAATCGTTTTACTTACTTTTCATTGCTGGGACAAAGTTTCCAGCCCCACCAAGCTGAAGGAAAGGTTTATTTGAGCCCACAGGGTTTTTGCGGGGGGCTTCAGTCTGTAGGCGGCTGGCGCTGATGCAGGGCGGCGTGGCAGAGGGGAGAGTCCGAGACACGGCAGGAAGGAAGCACGCGCGGTGAGCCTTCCTTTTCCTTTCCATTCCATTCAGACCACAAGTGTCTTGGTGGGGTCACTCGCACCCCCAGGGTGGCCTTCCCACTGTTCATACCCACTGTGCTAAACCAGCCAGTGGACTAATCCGCTTATTGCACCCGTAATCTAGTGTCAGACACGGTGATCCGGCTGCCTTCCCAAGGCCCCACCTAGGAGCGCATGAAGCTTTCGAGGAATGTTTTGCTATAAGCTGTAACAATAACACCATGTAAAGATGCCTTGGCAAGCTAGAGCGTGAACAGGTTAGGCAGTATTGAGAGCGATGGTGCTGCATAAGCCGCAGCTTCTCGGCCTTCAGCGTACTGTAAATCAGCTGGAAGCCCCAAGTACTTAGTACCTCAACCGCCAAAACCCACTTAGTAAGACTTTCTGCGAGAAAGAGCTGCGGCTCTGACGTCAAGTTTTCAAATTAAAGATACAAATAATCTTCTGTTATTTACAAAGTTTACATTCCAATACTCTCCAATGGATGCTTGACAGTGTGGAGTACCGAAATTATATATATATTTCTATTGTTGATGGAAAAATTATAACAATATATTATAAAAAGTTTTGTGGGTGTGGTTTGCGGCTTCTCAACTGCCATAGGGCAGGTAATGTACAGAATGGCTGCACTAAACGAAGGGGTTACTCACCCCCTGGCAGGATGGGTCAAGATTCCATCATGCTGTTCAGAATCAGAATGGCAATTTTAAACTTGCGTTATTGTTTGTTTTTGGAATTTCTATTTCTATTTTTGGAATTTTAGATCCTGCTATGGTTTGTATCTAGCTGTCCCCCCAAAGCCTCATGTAGGTCATGGGACAGATGTGGCTGGAGGAACAGCAAGTGGCTTGAGGGGCGGGGCCCGAGGACCAGGGCGGGGCCCGAGGGGCAGGGCCAGAGGACCAGGGTGGGGCCCGAGGAGCAGGGCGGGGCCAGAGGACCAGGGCGGGGCCCGAGGGGCGGGGCCAGAGGACCAGGGCGGGGCCCGAGGGGCGGGGCCAGAGG